ACTGAGGCACCGTTCACTTCACCAGGTAACAGAGAATAAATCACTGTACCGTTCTGTCTCCAGTCAGGGTCTCGAGCAGTAACTGAACATAAAGTGGAGCCAGGTTTGTTATTTTCAGTCACATATGCGCTGTAGGACTGTTCCTCAAACACAGGTGGGTTGTCGTTGATGTCAGCTACAGATAAGTGAACAGTTTTAGAGGAGGACAGAGGAGGAGAGCCCTCGTCAGTAGCACTGATTGTAATGTTGTAATCAGACACTAGTTCACGGTCCAGTTGCTCAGTTGTTATTAAAGAATAATAGTTTTTAATAGAAGGAACTAACTTAAATGGGAGCTCATGCTGAATATAGCAGCGGACCTGTCTGTTCTTCTCAGAGTCTCTGTCCTGAACATTAATGATGCCCACCTCTGTACCAGGTGACATACTCTCAGGTATGGGATTATTCAGTGACTTCACCGATATAACCGGAGCATTATCGTTCACATCAGTGACGTCTATAATAACTTTAGCATACGACGTTAGTCCTAACCCGTCTTTAGCTTCAACTCCTATTTCAAAAGAACTCGTCTCTTCAAAGTCGATAACGCCTTTCAATGATATTCCTCCAGTTTCATGATTAATAGAAAATACATTTATATCAACTTCGGACACGTGACCAAAGTCATAAGTCACTTCTCCATTCACTCCTTCATCTGCGTCAGTCGCACTGATGTCAATCACTACAGTACCAGGAGGAGCATTTTCAGGTATAGTAGCTTTATAAACGGCCTGGCTGAACACTGGGGCGTTATCGTTAGCATCCAGTACAGTGACGTGTATGACGACGGTGCCTGATCTCTGAGGAGAGCCTCCATCTAAAGCTGTCAGCAGCAAATTGATCTCCTTTTGATTTTCTCGATCAAGTGTATTCCCCAATACAAGTTCTACCCTGTTTTTCTCTACTGCTAGAATAAAGTAGTCATTCTTTTGTAATGTGTATCTCTGAACAGCATTTTGACCTATATCTCCGTCATGGGCCTCCTCGACGGAGAAGCGGTTGCCTTTGGATGCCGACTCACTTATTTCCATCTCAATCAAATTCTTCTTGAATTTTGGCGAGTTGTCATTTATATCTTGAATATGAAGATTCACCCGATGAAGCTCTAAAGGATTTTCTAAGACAAGATCCAATTTCAACACACACGACGGTCTCTTGCCACAAAGGCTTTCTCTGTCGATTCTTTCTGAAATTACCAAATCTCCATTGTTTAAATTTACCTCACAGTACTGCTTTTGTGTCCCTTCAATATCGACACGGGCCTTTCGGGAGGATATCGTTGTAGATTCCATGCCTAGGTCCTTTGCTACATTTCCAACAACAGAACCACGATTCATCTCCTCGGGGATAGAATAACTCAGGTCTCCATGAACGACGTTCGGGATTACAACAAAGACAGGAAAATAGAAGAAACAAAAGCATAATAGCGATCCTTGGGGTCCCATCGTTGTACAAACGCGTGTATGGTTTAAATAAACAATAATCCACAATAATTATTCCCAAACAGAACTGAGAGAAGTTCGGAAAGGCGAGAAGGTTTGTAGACACGATGGATTCTGCTGCAAAATATCCGAACCTCGTTGTAGTCACAGTGGGTGGAGATCACTGCGTGGCTGTTGTGTTAGCCCACAGCGGCACCAAGAGTCTATTTTTATAAACTGCACTCCGAGAAAAGTCACTTCGCAATAGTTTATCTTAAGGTGATAACAACAGTAAAGCGAGTTAGTTAGTGAAAAGTAAGCCAATTTTATATAATGCATAAAAACGGGTCTATTTGTACACATTAAGGAATTAGCCTGGTCTTCAGGTAAACATTAATATAAAACTGTTCAACAACAAAAAAAATTAAAGACAATTCCCTTATAATGGAGTAATTAAAGTTATTGTTTAATCTAACCTATTCTTACGTACAAACGCATACACAGGGATCCCTGTATAACCATCACACCATATTCTTCCTTGATGCTGCAACTAATGAAGTTAAATAATAAAACATATTTTTGTATTTATGTAAATATCTAAGTAGCATTAAGCTTGCTAAAACTAAAATGCGTCTCAATTTGGCTGGCTCTGTCAGCACCGTGGACAGAGACTTAATATTTCGAACACATATTTATATACATGTATAAAATCTGTGGCAGCAACTCACCAAAAGCTATTGGGTAACAAAAGATCATAGCACATCCCGAAGGCTAAATATCCCCATGACACTCACTTCATCACACAAAACCTCCTCACGACGAGAAAAAGATTTATGTATAAGCCAGGTTATTTCAATAGAGTGGAAATTACACAAAACAAAAACACATCTAAGTACGGACAAACGTCGGAGGAGAAAAATGCCCCTGACAACTTGAGTCAGTGGTCTGATGTCATGCCCCGCCCCAAAACAAACAAAAAAAAAAAAAAAAAAAAAGAACATGAGTTCTCATCTAATATTCAAATTTGGGCGTTGTGAAAAGACAAGAAAAACAGAACGTGTTACATGTGGATTTTAAATGGTTCAAAAGTTGCGTGTTAACACGGAGAGAGCAAGGAGAAGACAAACTAATCTAGCTTTCAATAATATTTATCTCTTCAGAATTAAATATGTATTAGTATAATAAAATTAATTTAGAAGCAAAAGCTGTAGTCCTATCTTGAAAAGTGGAAGCTGTAGATTAAAACTGGAGGAGGAATGATTTAGTTTTTCTTGAATATAAGGTATTGGTGCATTTACTGCTTTGATGTATCATTTATCATTTGCATGCGTCAATTTACAATCTGTGTTTCCACTGTAAAAACATTTTAAATACATTTAAAAAACACTGTCACAGCATAAACTGAAACATTAAACAATGTCTACACTGTGAAGTGTATATATTTATCACGTAGTATGTCACTACCCATTAAATATTAAAAAACACAAGACAGGCACTGAGCGAAAAGCTTCAAAAACAGACAAAAATCTCACAGAAGAACTGTGGACCAAGTTATTCAAGTTACAAACAACCTTAACTGACAATACAAAGAGGCCAAACTAGCATTTCCTGTCGTTACCAGCGATATACGACAGTCTATCAGAATAGCTGCAACACAAACCACGGTTTTTAAAACCTGTTTGCCTCTTCAGTTTTGGTAAAAGTTTTCAAACATTCGCTTCAACAGTAGAAAACGTGAAAAAAACGCATTTCCTGTTACGTATTGTCTTCATTTCAAACTATCACATATCAGCATGTAACCACATAGCTTTTCACAAACAAAACAATGGCGACGATTATAGTAAACAGGTGTTGCTTTGAAGTTTTAAACTTACCGTAGTCCGGAGAATTCACAGCCAGGATATTCTTTAACTGTCGATTTCCAAGCAGATAAAACACCACGGAAGTCCACGGAAAAGACGAATTTCATCAAATCCCCACAGCGACACAAACGTAGAACTAAGCTAACAAACATTTGCTACTCCAAAGTTTGGTACTCCAAAGCCGAGCTCCTCTGCGGCAGACCGGAAGTTGACTTTGACAATGACTTAATCCCGCCACTAGAACATAATTAAATGTTATTCAATTTACGCATAATTTAAACCTGTAGTGTACTGTAAGTTACTGTATATCGAGTGGTAACAAATCGATTAAATAATATATATACCTATATATAATTCGGAAAAAAAGACAATATTGGGTGTTGACAAAACATTGTCTTTGCCTAGCACTTATTAAGTATTTCACTATCTCAAAATGTTGGTATCTCTTCCAGAACAGGAAGTCTAAAAAAATTAAGCCTACATTTTAGTTGTCATTACTTTTACTTTAATGTTTTATTAAAATGTAAGGACATGAAATATATTTTAAACTGCAATGACGCATTAAAAACCAGAAACCCCTGTGATAGAGCGGAGTAAGAAAAGTGTAGATTTATTTCAGCTATATTTGGTTCTGTATGAGTTCACGGTAAAAGAAAGAAAAAGTGGTTAAAATGAGATTGACCCTGACGTGATTTGAACACGCAACCTTCTGATCTGGAGTCAGACGCGCTACCGTTGCGCCACAGAGTCGGACTCTCACAGCTGCAATTGAAAACACTGTCATTTTATAAATTATTTTATTAATTTTTATTAGTTTATGGAAGTGACTCCATGTCATTCTATTTTAGTTTTAACAGCGTTTAATAGGGGAATTTAAGATTATTTTATTTTATTGTAATAACAAGACTAATACAGAACAAATACATTACACTGCACATCATTAAAAACCATAATATAAAAATCTTTGTCCCGGTGTGGTTGTCAAAAAAAAAAAAAACTGCGTCAAAGTTAAATAATGATTTGGCAGATTATGCACAAGAGTATTTAGTGCTATAAGAAAACGACCAGGAGATGGCGCCTTGTGGAACCGCGCAGGTACAACAGTTGCAGCATCCGGGAGATGGAGGAGGACAGAACGGTGCAGAAAGGACAGGGCGTTTGTCAAATCGATCATTCCACAGATAAAAGCAAACAGAATTCGGCTGTTCTTTAAACATTGATCTGAAAGTCTGGCTGAGCTTCATGGAAGCATTTGTTGTGATTGCTGCTCTCCTTCTCTTATTCCTTTTTCACTTACCCACCACGACAGAATGAATATTCTTCCACACTCTGACGAGTTATGTCGCATTTTGAACACCAAGAACTGCCTGGACCATCTGGGACAGTGGCTTTCAACAAAGGCTTTGTTATCATCGTGTCTCTTTTATCTGCAAAAAATAATCTGCATTTGTATGTGACTGTCAACGTAGAAACAACACCCTGTGTAAACACCCTTGCTAATCTATTATTTTAACACTTTTCAAGTCCTGTGCTCAAATGTCCACCTGGGATAAACAGCTCTTGCAGTACTGTTTTATGGTAATATTCTTTCAAAATAATGCTATAAATTTCAGAATAAAAGCAGCGGAGGGACCCACGCCATTATTATTTAAGCGGGTTTATATAACTGTATAATTTACTGCTGAAGAAGTTGCACATTCAGGAGTGCTTGAAAGTCCTTTAAGGGTCATAAGGTGGTATTTAAAATATGAAGGTACAATCCTAATACTTTTATTTATATCATGCAGTTAATGACATTATTGTGTATTTAAGTTAAAGACATATTAATTAAAAATATAAAGTGTCTGTTCTTTATATTAAACATTCTGCATTTACTATTTTATCATTCATTTGCATTGGAATAAAAAAAACACATTTCCACAAACACACAAACACACCAGACAATGAATTGTAAGATTTTTTTTTAGAAAGAAAACTTTATTAGTGATTTTTTTTAACAAAACACATTACCACTGTATCCATTTAGGTAAAATAAAAAAAGTCAGAAAATTAATGAAATAAATGACTTTCACTACATCACTCTTACATTTGATGAGTGGGTGTGTACAAAGAAAAATAAAAGTTTTACCACAGATCCGGGCTGATCCATTGAAGACAGCAGCAAGCCGTCGTAGTTCATCACCATACTCGAAAAGAATGACAGCATGAATGTTCACTAAACACGATAAGATACTACACATACCCTTTTTTTTTACACTGGACTATTTTTTCAGTCATTTTTTTTTATTTTAATGAGTGAAAGAAGAAGTGATAGCTCATCATACATATTTCAGTTACAATAGTAGTAGAGTTTTTGTTAGATCATCATGTCAAAGCCAGAGTGTCTTTTTTTTTGTTCTTTTTTCTTGTTTTGCTTTTTTCAAAAGCAAAAATTGGAGTCGGAAAAGAGAGAGAGAGAAAAAAAGATTGAGCTGAAAGGTATCACGCTACAGCATTTACAAATATCTAAAAAGGTTTGAGTGGACGTCATACAACATCTGTCAGGAGTGGAGATTGTAGTGAGTAGATGTTCGGCGAGACAGAAGTTCATACAAATACCTCTTTCATCAATAATGAAGATAAAATGATCATACAAAAAATAAAATAAAATCATAGCCATCTATCTATTTATATATTTCTCTATATAGTAAGTGTTTCCTTACAGCAGTACATGCAGCAGCCACTTAATGGAGTGACGTCATACTGAGCCGTAAAACCTTAGGGGGATGTGACAACATGATACAGGCAGGGAAGGGAATCAACAGAAGCAGGTTTTTGGGGGCGTGTGCGCCCGAGTTTCAAAAGCTCCTGAGAGAGGATTGGTGGAACACAGCGGTCAAATAGGAATACCCCGATTCCCATGGCCATATTTTAGCAAGGATCAATATTTAAGACAATACATGAAATGTCTACCCTTACATTTACAGCGTACATAAAAGCTAATACTAAATGACTCAACAGTCTTGAACAATCAATGTGAATTTTATTTTATTTTTTTTACATGGAGGGAAGGTCTGCTGGAGTTCTTCACCTCTGTAATATGATTCTTTCCACCTGGTTCCCTCTCATTAGCGGCTACACAGACAAAAAAAAAAAATGAAAATCATGTTTACAATTTTAAAAGCAATGAACCAAGTTGAACTCATCTGACAGGAAATCAGGGTTGAGACCCCAACTGGGTTTCCCCAGGCCTTGTCCACATTACTCCATGCTATTTTTAGCACACCACAATGTTCAGAGCAGGCCATTTGCAGATATATTCCTGTGCAGTGGGAGCCAGAAGACAGGGCTGTTTTAGGGTAAACACTGCACGCAAATAAAAGTCAATTAAGAAAAAAAAAACATCTTGCAGCAACAAAGCTCTTTGGAGAATAACATTAAAATCAAAATGTTTACAAAATCCCCAGATTAGGCGGCAAACGGCGGGGACGTGTGACCGTGAGGAAGAGCCCAGGTTGGAGGAGGAGAGAATGGCTTGTTGCTTGGTGCAACTCGGGCAAGCACAAGCAGGTGGGCAGTCGTGCACTCAAGGTATTGGAGGACTGACTGCCACCAGACATTCAAAGCAGAAAGCATTTGGAGAGGGTTTTTTTATAGACTCTCTTGATGTCTTGATTTGGTTTCATCAAAGTCCTCTCAATGGAAGAAGTGTCAGGAGAAAGTCAGAAGAAAGATTGGCAAGACTCCTCCCGTCTGCCATGCACCTTGTCATCCTTCAGGGGTCTCTGCCGTCCTCAGTTTGGGCTGCGGCAGGAGATGGAGCTCTGTCTTCCAAAGACAGAGTTTTTTTCAGGTGATTTTAAGAGGATGCTGCTTCCATCCTCCGAGAGCTGATATAAAACCGTTCACCGTAACCAGGTGACTGTGCAGAGCAAGAAGCGCAACTTTCGAGCACATTTGGCCGACATTATTGTCTCTCTCATTTGTATTTCTCTCCTCACGGGTGATTTTGTGTCCCCCTTTTTGCCTTTGCACGTGTTGGTAATTTTTTGTTTACATGTTTCTGTTATATGTGAGCATGCGTGTGTTGGCATGTGGTTTCATTGCAATCGTAGGAAACACTGAAGGTAATTCTGGAGCGTTGACATTTGATCATGTTAGTCTTGGTTTCAGTGACCCTCATCTGTGCTATTTACAAGTAAGTGTGTGTCCAGCTTCAGAGTGTATTAATCATTTGCCTAATCATTTTCCTCGTTCCTCTTTTTCTTGGCTGGCACAAAAAAAATTGTCTCTTCACCGAGACAACTGTTTATACATCGTAGTTGGGCAGGGGGTAAGACAGAGGTGCCAACGTAACCACTGGGTTAAGGGACAAATTTCAAGACAAGAGCAAGAGTGGCTACTTAACATAATAACCTACAAGACATGACTCTGGCTTCATAGGCACATAAGGGCGTGGAGAAACATCAATGTTATTTTTTCTTTTATCAAGTCAAGATCAATCGGTACCTTAGCATGGAACTGAAGGTGGAACTAATCTTGATAAGGCCTGGCCACTAACAGAATATGTTTTGATAGTGTAAAATAGGTAAAACTAAAAGTTCTTCTTGCCCATTGGACTTTGTTTGGTACCTCTGTTTTAACGTTGCCCTTTCCTACTTTGTTTTTATTTTCTCCTTCTGCTTCGTTACTCATCGCCGTCATCCTTCCCCTTATCTTTTTTGTCTTTCTTTTCCTTTTCCTTCTTCTTTTTCTTCTTCTTCTTGGCCTCCTCCTTCTTTCCGAAGGTGATGAAGTCACTCTTGTCATCATCTCCGCCCTGGTTCTGTCTGATGGATATTATGGCGGGTGAGCCAGGTATGATGAAGGCTTCTGGGGGAACCTCGCCAGGCTTCAGATGCTGTGGGGGTGCACCTGGTCCTCCTGGGCCATAGCGAAAATGCCAACTGTTGCTGTCTACACCAGCACCCATTGGGGGCGACACCTCTCCTCCTTCACCATCTAAAAGAAAAGAAAGAATTTAAAAAAGGATTAACTTCTTTTACTGGAACTAATACACCAGTAAAGCCAAACAGTTGGAGAAGAAAAGATGTATTACAACAAACATATTTCATCAGCAAATCACTCCCACTGCTCCCTACATCTACCCTCCAGTCTCAGATAAAAGTGTGGACAAAGTAGCAGAAACGAGTTAAATGAGCGAGAAAGTCAGTGATCTGGGAGGTTTCTGTTTCTAAATAATAATCTAATGTGATATATGCCCACAGCTAAGCATCAACAATAATTTAGTAGGAGCAAAAATTGATTTTTTTTAGGACGTTCCTCACAGCAGATACTAACTCGTCACAGTTTACGCACTTACTCCTTTATGTGTTTGAGTCTCAGCTTAAATCAAAGTGGACATCCAGTCAACTAGAAGGAATATAGTCTGGCAGTAGAGCCCTGACCTCAATTGTACCAAAAAAATAATACTAGACTCTGTGAACTACAGCTAATCTTCAATAATAAATAGCACTTCCTGAAGTCACATATCCTGAATAAACACATGCTGCTTTAATTGAGTAGACGATTCGCTGAGAAAGATCTATGGCCATTCTGTTTTTGCGTATGACTCGCCTCTGGGGGAAAAAAAAAATCATTCTTCAATTGAGTGATGACTCATGGTGACTACAGACAAAAGAGAAAGGGTAAAAGTGCAGTGTCATTTCTTCAGTGTGTCTGTGCCTTCAATAAAGGCGCAGTCTGACCGTTAACAAACCTCTACACCTCTAAACACTGTGATTCAAAAATCAACATACACTTTCTTCTCTCTGTCTATTACTTTCCTCATGATAGAAATCAACAGACCAACCCCCCCACCAACCTTCACTTTTTATTGTTTATGCTTTTGTATCATTAGCTGTTGAAGAGCAAAACTCTTCTTGTCTCCTCTTCTCTTTCTCCCTCTCTCCCCCTGTCAGTCTCTTACCACTGACCTTCTATCTAATCTGGCGTGAAAGTCCACTGCCAGCCGACGCCATTTTAATCATGCATATCGATGATAATGATAACATTGATACGGCCGGATAACAAACAGCGTGCTCATCACTGGCAGCTGTTATACATGTTTCAGACGAGCTGATCCCATGGAGACCCATATGGCCCAATGCCAAAGCTACTGTCAGCAATGAATTTGTGTTAGAAATCACTGATTTCTACATATTTCATTCAACACGATGTCTGGACATTTTTTACTGCTTTAACTTCGAACGTTGAATTTTTCCATATTTATTTTAATACCCTCCCACTCCAACATGGTCAGTCAAGGAAAACATCCTGCAGATTAAGGTCTGTTTGGTCTCTGACACAGAGTAAGCTATGAATTATATAACAGCCAGTCAGCAGGGACCACGCCCTGCTGTCAGACAGCATCATTATCTATTGTGTGTTCGTTTGGTGTGTGTTATAAAATATAATACAGTACTACTTGTTGCTTTTTTAAGTATATGCAAAGCATAATAAAATGTCAATATTTGTACTTTCTGTGTGTGTATGTGCTGTATAGCAATAATAAAGAATAAATAAAGAAATAATAATAAACAGTTACTGTAGGGCATTTTAGCATTTTAAAAAAAAATTAAAATATGCCCTCAGTGGTTCAGTGGTAGCTCTCTATCTTGCCACCAGAGGGTTCGATTACACCGAGTCCTCAAATCCCAGGTCATATTTTCATCAGGAAGGGCAACCACTGAAATTTCTCCTCTGAATCTTTCTGTGGACATAGTGCTGTGCTGACCAATGATAAAGGGACAAACCAAAAGTGATTACTAATCAAATTTAAAATAGGTTTGAAAAAAAAACCTCTTTGATGTACCTTTATGGTCTTCAGTGAATCTACATCCAACAGAAATCACACTGACTGACTGAATGTAGGACACTTTGGTCCTATTCCTCCTTATCTCTCTCTCTCTCACACTCTCTCCCCCTAAGGCTCTTACCTTCTCCCTCTGATCCATCATTTGCTGTTAGCTTCACCTTTACCTAATACTGGGATCTATTATCTCTCCATCGCCCACACATGACCAGCCTGATCCTTCAATCATTCTTCTCTCACATCATTATGTTATCTACTTGCACAGAGGTTGCCGTGGTAACCACTATCCTCCAGTGAAGCAGTGGGACTGTTGACAGCATTTGTGTTGATAGAGAATGTTACTGCAAGCTTCCCTCTCTCCCTCTCTCTTCTTAAACCCTTTCCACCCTGCCCTAGCAACAACAGCATCAGTCTGCTTCTTTCCTACCTTCTACACATTAATAGTCAATCACTCTGGTTAAGTAGTTTACACAATCTCCAAACCAGGTTAATTCGTTTTCCACCTTCACACTGATGTGAAGGTTTAAGAGAGAGAAAGAGAGAGAGAGAGAGAGAGTATTTGTAGGGAGTAGAAGCACAGCCCTGATTCCATTAATGCGGTTCTGTTAATCTGGGCGTGGGCTGTGCCGCTCCATCTGTCCCAGCAGGAGCAGCACACAAAGCAGGGAGCCAAAACACTCTTATAAACACAACAAAGTGCACACACACACTCACAGCAAAGTACACCCAATTATCCACTCACAATATAGGAGGAAGACTGGGATTCATTTACAACCACACTGAAAAAGAAATTGACTTTGAAGCCTCAGCAAAAGTTACCTCCTGTGAAACACCTGCAGCAGGTTATTTCAACCCAAGAGTAGAATCTGTCTTAGAAACTTCAGATCTGAAAAATGTAATATGACCTGAAGAATTACATCCACTTCCTTTTTACCTTTTACCTATTCTGAACACATGAAGGAATCTGTAAATCCTCAAAACACAACATCAAAGATGGACACTGTGAAAAAGCAATTGCAATTGGATATTTTTTTTATGCCCGTACCTATTGTGTCGTTGTACCACAAAATACTCTCGAACAGGTCGTGTCCTGATTCTTTTGTATTACAAATCACCCTTTGATGCTGTCCCTGCACCATTCAGCTTTCACTTTCATTTTTTTTTTCAACAAGGACAGGAAGTCTTCCCAGTAATTGAATACCTTCTGGCTCACCAGTAAAATCAAAAGGATGAAAGATCATGCAAAGCTCAGAATCCTCACTGTAAAACACTGTGATACATAGTTTTATATACAGTTTGTATAATCCTTATTTTGCCTCGATTTTGAATGTTCCTATAATTCTACTCATCTTAATGTTTACCAAATGAAAGGCTTTTAGTCAAAATGGGCAGTTTTCAAATATTTACTCCTAAAAAACAATTTCTCGTTGGTGTTTCCGAGAGCAGCCTTATGGATTCTTACCTGCAGCACTGGACACAGTCGGCCAGTTCTGAACCAGGACTCCCTGGGCTCCCTGCATTACCGAGGACTCCTCCATGTGCACAGAACTTGAAGGAACACACATAAAAAACATTACCCATCAGTGAACACACAAACTTCTATGAACTGAATTCTTTGTTTTACTGCAAAACACAAAGCATTCACAGATTGGTTTTGTATAAGCTCCCAGGTCAACCAGAAGAGTCAATCTCAGAAATGTGACTTTCAGATTAAAGGATTTTTTTTATCCAACATTTTCTGGCATTCAAAGGATTATGGATCAGAGCTGCGTAACATTTTTATAAGAGATTTGTGCACCATTGCACCTACAATACAAATGTACACTGTCTGAAGCCCTAAATGACAGCAGATCTCGAACATAATTTTTCAAACCATCAGATATTGTTTTTTTTGTTTTTGTGAGCACAATAGTCTTCAAGATAATAAAGTAATTACTGGAAAGGTTCAGAAAATGCAACACTTACCTCTGCATTACTCCTCCTGCTCTCAGTGAGGCTGAATATCTCCAGTCCGAATTTGGTGCTTTGGGCTGCAAGAAAAAAACAAGAACAATTGAGTATTTGGTGCAGAAAATACTGTAATCGATAGGAACTAGTTTATTACCAAGAAAGCGGTGCACATGGTACTTTTATATTCACACATATATGGTTCCACACACATACACATACACATAATCAGTATTGTACATGGGCACACTGCAGTTCATTTCATGATAAAAAAACACCTTGATGCACTCCTTGTTTTGAACCAGTATAGCCTGGTTGATTATAACCATTACCAGAAAATATATCACAGATATTTTGTCATCACTGTATTCATTTGTATCCCAGCATGGATACCGAGCTCACACCTGTATCACTTCATTCTCTGCTTCATCTGTAGGGAGCTGGCCAATCCAGGCTCAGCACAGAGAAGAACAATGGAGCCTCTTAATCACTTGACACACACACAGCTGACATCACATTATAATAGAAGCATTACCTTGAACATGTCTTCATTTTTTTCCATCACTTAAACCTCTGTATCACACTGAGGAAACAGATCCACTGAGGGTTTAACGCAAAACCTGATTATAGTTTAGTCTAAAAGACACAATTGATCCTATTAACACTTTGTTTAGGGAAAACCAGTGTACATGCACTCTCACACACACACACACCTAGTGATTACAGCAAAAATGTGTCAACACCAGGAAAAATATTCAAATTATTGTATTGGCGTTGTATTTCTCACCCTTGTTTTGCATCACCCAAAAATGCTATTTTTCTCTTCCCATCTGTCCCTTTCTTTCACACTTTCACCCACAGAGAGAATACATCTTGGCATCTTTTAATCTTGAGATTTCAATGCTGCTGGTGGATAAACTACAGATATAACGATAAGAATCAGTCACTAATGTGCTGTACATACACCACACAGCACTGAAAAAACGGTAACCACAGAAATATTACTTTTTAGTTCTTGAAACTTTCTTCTGCTGATTTCTTGAGAAAGTTGCAATTTGTCTCACCCGGGATTTGTCCTCTGACAAACTGTGTATGCCAACGAGCATGTTAACAGAGAGTCTCTGAAGTGCCACAAAATCGCCTGTCATGCTTGCAGTGACATTTAACAGATCACTCCAGGGAGGGTGGGAGTGGGGGGAGGGAGGGGTGATCTCAGCTTTTTGTTTGTCAGGAACACAAAAGTGAAAAGAGATCAACAACAAAACGAGGAAGAAAAGATCCGTTTTATACACGACCTTCACATTCTCCTCCTCTCCTGGTTCTCCTCTTTGATGTCTGTCTACAGTCAGTGATCACAGTGACATCAGTTCCACTATGTGACAAGAAATCACACAGATTTGTTTGATTTGCGTCACACAATGTTATTAACATGATCCTAGCTCAATTTAAGACTTTTTAAATTGCATTTCAAATAAACATATGAAATTGAGAGGCTGCAAAACAAAACAAACAAACTAAAAAAAGAAAAACAACACTTATAGAACTAAGATTAATTCTCTGTGCCAGAATGTAAGATGATCACCAAATTCATCAAATCCTCTTCACAAGATCTAATCCTCACTAATGGCCCTTCCGTTATGTAAGTGGGCACTCTAAAACCCATCAGTATGACTTCATGAAACCTTCATGAAACACCCTCAGCCCTTCGTACCTTAATGTTAAATCAGTGACACAATATGACTGATATACAGACTCAGCTGCTTCATCGTTCCTCATTCATTTAAAACAGGAGGGTGCACTAACCCCCTCCCCCCCCCCCACCCAACCTTCTAATAACTGACACAAACAAATAAACATTAAGGCGAGGTAAAACAGAGCTACAAAAACACACAAAATGTCAAGTTGGTCTGCCATTTAATTATGGGTCAGAATAACTGACCCTGTTAGAGGTGAGAGGGAAAGGCTATGGAACAGACAGAGACAAAATATATATATGTATATATAAAAAATAAAAATCTGTTTGAAGAACTATTCACCAAACAGTTCAACTTGCAGTGTATGGGGTTATTTTTCCTTTTTCTGTTGAAACATATTATGTTTAACCGAAGGTCACGCAAACATTTTGACTTGACTCAAGACTTTGGTAGAGAAGGATTATTTGAAGCCTGGGAAAAAAATGTAACACTGCCCTGCAGCCACAGTATATGACTAGAAAGCTGAAATACAAACCCAAAATATGTACAGCAGTTTGGAGAAGCTGATTTGCCATACCCTCTAATCTCATTTTTTATGCAACAACTCTGGCATCTTTGAAATAGTCGGCTAAATAAAGCAAACCAAAATCCTTATACTCAGGTGGACTCAGCAACTGGGTCAAGGAGGAATTTGGCTGTTTTCTCATCTTCCCCGAATTTAAAAACTAAAGGGCATGAAAGAATGAAAAGCAACACAAATCCAACTCTCTGGGACTCTCAGCTCCTCGATTGTCCTGGTTGTGATTCTTCCGGCACCGAACAATGCTATCGGCAAATGCAGGCAGGGCTTTGACTACTTCCCTCTTAGGATGCTTCAGCTTTGTATTTTCTGTCGGGTGGGAAAGGATGAATCCATGCTTCTGAGCATGACCGAGTTGATCTTGGGGCTGCAAAAACATCCAGTTAAAATGTTTGCCACTAAGAGGGGACATTGGTGCAGAGAGGCTCGGTGGATGTAAAAGGAGAGAGATTGTGTTATTTGCCCCTGAAACTGTGACCTAACATTCGCCTGTATTTAAAGACAGGCACAATCTCATGCACACAGCTTGAAATGTAAATTTATGTCTATGTGTCACTTTCTCTCACACCTCTCACAAATGCAGTGTGTTCCTCAGATACCTCGTATATACCTTGTCTTCTAAATTGAGACCTTAAATCTCGATAAGCATCTTTTCTTTTGTCTGTATCTTTCCTGCCTCCCATTTCCTGACTGCTTACGTCACCAACACATGCTGGGGTAGATGTCTAGGTGGGGGGCGGGTACATACTGGCAGCTCCCTGGAAACAGACTGGTTCATCATTTCATTATGGCGCTGAGAACAGTCTCCATGACAACCAAGGACGGCAGAGCTAACCTCAGCAGCACAAAGGACACACCCTTGTAAAGGGAGAAAAACAGGAAGTACACGTACAGACACCAGCATTGCTGAGAAAGATAAACGCCGTGGAACAAAACACTTTTTTTTTTCTTTTTCTTTTTTTTTGCACACGTTAGAGAATCGCAAGGCAGGGTTGTTATTATGTCAGGTTTCTCTTATAAACCAATGCACCAGGAAACTGGGATCGATCAACTGTGAACCACTCAGCTGTGAGCCTCCACCCGGCTGATGGTCAATAATTTAATGTATCGTGTGGCTTTGGCTGAGGTAGAGCTTTACGTTCTAGTGAGGAACACACAGCAAATGTCAAACCACTGATATCATAATTATAAGCCGTTAGTGCCGAGGCTATAATAAAAATAAATAATAAATAAAATAAAATAAAAGCCTATGTTCCTATGTTCCTTTGCCACTGTCACTCTTTCTCTGGCTGTGATTGATTCATCAGAGCTGCACAACCCCGCCCAGACTGCAGAGCTGAAGCCAGGAGAGAGCTGATACCTTCATCCTGAAGCTCCGTGTTGCTGCTATTGCTGCAGCAGCGACTATAGTGGAAAATTACCTGCCCCTCCCTCCCCGTCACTTCCACAGACAGCTGCAGCAAACCGACCACATACACTGTGCCCACTATTTTTACGCATAAAAACCGCGGGTGCTGCAGACATTTTGCAACAAGATGAGGCAGGCGTATATCTGCAATCATACTTACTTAAAAGCAGAAGAAAATAATACTACTACTACATCAGGTTCAGTGCCGTGGTGCATGCAGTAGGCAGCCATCTTTAAATCTCACTCTGACCCACTTCTAATCTCCACAATGCTGCTGCGCATTCGCCCCTGGTCTCTCTCCTCTCCTGTCATCACACCCACGCACAGACACATGCTTGTTTTTTTTAAAACAATTCATTTAAATGATATAATATCGTCCATCTGGAGACATCGCGGACAAAATACGCGATCTTTCACACAGAAACCAAACACCCAGACAGAAGCAGTGACTGTCACTGTGGAAAAGCCGCACAAATTCACATTTGATTTGGTTTGCGCATATATTAGCGGTGGTAATGGAAGTATATTAGGTCGTGTTTACAGCACACGCAGGCTGACTGCACACATGTCCCCCGGAATGGACATTAATTCACCGTGTCCCCTCCTCCCCTTTTTCTCAGCTGCTCCCCTTCCGGGAGAATAATGTTGAAGAAGAGGGGGAGGGGAACAGGGGAAGGTCTGACCGCATGAAGGCGGAGGAGGAGGGTGAGGAAGTGGAGACTGAAGAGAACAGAACAGAACGGATAAAATGAATATCGAGAATGCTTTGTCGGTGTAAAACAAATATATAGAATATAAATATATAGAAGGAGACGATGTGATACATGAAAATAAAGTAAAAAACAAACAAATATGTTAAATCAACATATTTATAAACTGTGTAAACAGAGAATAAAAGTCTTGATAAATCGTCCATGCCTTAAATATATCGTCACCCCAGCATACAATTATATATAAAAGGATACAATCCTTATAAAAATGGCATTTTGTGCTTCGAGGTTTAAGGTTAAGGTCTAATCCTCACAAAATGACTCAATTTGTTTATGACTGCATTCCAAGTTGTGTGATGTAAACATGACTAAACCCAGACATGAGCTCATATCCCCCGAGTATAAAACCCAGGAACATGTGGGTCCTTTTGTCCCAATATATATAAAAAAGGAAATGGCACATAATACAAGGAAATGAGCTACAATATAAATAGGAGCCAATAAAAAATATCCCCTCCAAAAACAAGCGCTATAATCCACGTTTCGTTGTTTTTTAAAACAAATACACTCAGTGTATTATAAAAAACAAATACACCATCCACAAAGGCCATCATCAAAACCAGGTGCTGCACAAATGTGCAAGCCCTTGGTAACTCTTTTCAGTTCTTTCCACCTTTAATTATCACACAAT